TCACGATCTTTTAACGCTCCAATACGACGAATATCCAGGCGAACAGAAGCATAGAATTTCAAGGCATTTCCACCTGTTGTTGTTTCTGGTGATCCAAACATGACACCAATCTTATGACGCATCTGGTTAATGAAGATCACCAGGCAGTTAGTTTTCGAAACCGAGCTTGTCAACTTACGCAAAGCTTGGCTCATCAAACGAGCCTGCAAACCCATGTGAGAATCTCCCATATCACCCTCAAGTTCGGCTTTTGGAACCAAAGCAGCGACAGAGTCTACAACCACCACATCGATACATCCAGAACGTACTAACGTATCAGCAATTTCTAAGGCTTGTTCTCCAGCATCAGGCTGAGAAATCACCAAGTCATCTAAATTAACGCCCAATTTAGAGGAGTAAGAAGGACTTAACGCATGTTCTGCATCTACAAAAGCACAAGTCCCTCCAATTTTTTGAGCTTCCGCAATCGCATGAAGTGTTAACGTTGTTTTCCCTGAGCTTTCTAGCCCATAAATTTCAACGATACGTCCTTTTGGAAGGCCACCTATCCCCAAGGCAAGATCGAGACCTAAAGATCCTGTAGGTATAGACTCGATATCTTGAACAACTTCTTGTTGCCCCAATTTCATTGCAGAACCTTTACCAAATACACGCTCAATTTGAGCCAGTGCCGCATCGAGTGCCTGTTTCTTTTCCATCAAAAGGTACCTTTCTAAGCTTTGTGAACGATCATTCTCATTTTTTATTCCATACTTCCCTAAGGGAGAGCAAGACTTGTTATCTTAACAAAGTATATTTTTTACTTTTAAGCCCCTTAAAACCGCTATTCAAGCCCATTTTACTTCTGGAGGCAAAGACATCAAAATAGCTTCTGTATTTCCCCCTGTTTTTAAACCAAATTGTGTCCCCCGATCATACAAAAGATTAAATTCTGCATATCGTCCTCGCCGTAAAAGTTGATGTGCCCGATCTTCTTTTGTCCACGCTTCAAACATATGCTGGCGTACTAAAGGTGAATACGCCTGCAAAAATACCTTTCCAATGCTTTGGGTAAAGTCAAAATCTTTATCCCATGATCCTGTATTAAAGTAATCATAAAAAATCCCTCCAACACCTCTTGGCTCATTACGATGAGGAAGGAAGAAGTACTCATCGCACCACTTCTTATACTTAGGATAGTATTGCGGATCATGGGTATCACAAGCCTCTTGCAAAACTTTGTGGAAGTGTTCTGTGTCTTCTTGGCATGGCACCATTGGTGTCAAATCTGTCCCTCCTCCGAACCAAGACTTACCAGATGTAATAATGTGGCGTGTATTCATGTGCACAGCGGGCACTTTTGGCGCCAGGGGTCTTGGGCTTACAAGGGCCCCCAGGTCCCCAAGGACTTCAAGGTCCTAAAGGGTCTCCAGGGCCTCCTGGAAAAACCGGAATCGCTGGTGCTATTGGCCGTCAGGGACTTCCAGGTGTCCCTGGTCTCCGAGGTCCACAAGGATACAATGGAACTCAGGGCTTCAAAGGGGATACTGGAGTACCTGGACCAAAAGGAGCCAGAGGACGTCCCGGTGTTCACGATCTGAGCCTTTGTCAACATAGGAGTAATTCTTCAGTAACGACAAGTGGTCCATACGCGAACACGGCCATTAGCGTGGTTGAAACAACTGTAAGTTTACTGTTTCTTAACATTTAAAATTTATTAAATATCCTATGCTCAATTCAGGCGTGTAGTACGTAATAAGACAAACAGAGCAGACCATACCATACCACTTCAAAATCATCGCAGCAAAACTAAACAAGGGTAAGACATTTTTATAGGCATACTCAAATCTACTGTTTGTTCTACACAATTCCTTTTCTTTTGTACCTTTTTTTGCTGATAAGTTGGAAATTTAAAGTAATTGCTGCAAGACAGCTATCTATAAACCTTTTGTGTATTTCTAAAGTACATTTTCTT